AATGCAAGCAGTGTAAAGTCGCTCTTGCTATTTTTTACGAAACTATACTTATGGCATCGAATCATGTATCTGATACCATCCCCCACCCCCTACCTTGGCGCCGTGTTACTTTAGCACCGAAGAATTTTGAAAGGCACAAGATTTGGGGATTGATTCGCACCACACAAGAAGTACTGGAAAGCCAACGACTTTCTCCTTTCACAAGCGCCGGTGGTGGCACTACGTTTCGAAGCAGCACAACGCATTGAACATGCATGCGGGTCACTAACCGCCAACATTGCGAGCAGCTTCTGTAAAGGTCACCGTACTGTCTCGTTTTGAATGCTTCGGAAAATCTCTGAAATTCACTGGCACAGCGTTTCTAAGCGCATACAAAGAGTCCGAGGCATTGGAAAAGTCGGAGCAGTTCGTCATGGATGCATTTAATAGCATTGGACCGGAGACATGCTCAAATTTGTAAAAAGCATGTCCCAATAGACTTGATGAAGTAACAAACAGGCCCGGTGCCCCGATTAGTCATAAAGACTGTTTTGCGTTTTCTTTTCCTTGGTGAAAGTACCTTGCTCAAAGGTGTTGTACAGTTATGAAACAGTGGAAGAATAGAAATGTCTCTTTATGTAGAATGCAGGGAGTAGAAATATTGATTGAGATGTCATTTTATTCAGCATCATATGTAGGTCACATAGGCACTCACTGGAGTATTCGATCTATTTTGTAAATCCCGAAATCCCAAATTTTGAGGGGAGGGGTGTCGTATCGTTATGAAACGCAGCGTATTTTGACTACGAAAAGCACTACATATAAGCATGTGTTCGCTAACCTTCAGTGGGTTTGATCGTTTTGCCTTTTGCATAGGAAAGCGAAAATTTCTGCTTTCACCCAGCGATACAGTAAATATTTCTTTTTCAATAATATTGACCCAATTAGCATGAACTGTGCAGGAAAATCCAAGAAGCTTCTGGTACACGTACGAATTTCGAAGACAAGTGAGAAAGAAAGAAATGAAAGAGAAAATGGCTATGGCGCTCTATCATAAGATCAATTTGCAAAACCTTGTAGTGAAACGCATATTCAAGCATTTTTCGTTGAATGAAAAAATGCAACCTTTTCTTGTAGATGGTCAAGTGATTAAAGTGCTCAAAAACGCACCACAGACGAATATGAACTCTCGAAAAAGTAGACAACTATTGAGGAAGCGCGTTCACATTTCAAGGATGCAAGAGACACTGTCATTCAAAAACTTAAAAGTTCGAGTTTTTTTATGCCTGCCCAATGATGATTGAAGGCTGTTGTTGTTCTCTTTCGGAGCTGTATAGATTGCTTATGTTTTGCAAACAACACCAAACTTTGATTTATTTGTTCCGTTCTGTTTCGTTTATTATTCTCGACGATTGGTTACAATATAAAACCGTGGACTTCACAAGGTATTTTTGATAGTGGAGCTACGTATTTCGCCGCGCTGATGTCCGTCAGTTCTTCTTGCCAACAAGTGCTTGAGCGATTGTGAGTCCAGCTGGCTTCCCTGAATCTCTTCTGACTTCCGATAGGTTTCGCGCGGTGGACCAGCCACGGTTTCTTCCACCGGGTTCTTCCTTCTTCCATTCTTGGTCGTTGGATGGTCAGAGCTAGTAATCAGCCGTCTCTTCGTTAGAGAAAGACAGAAGTAGGTTCATATGGATTTCTATGTTACTAAGCAAATTAAAAACTCTTGGATTTGGGTGGGAAACTATGCGCCGCCGATGGGTTAAACCTTGCGCGGATAGCTGTACAAATCTGTAATGTTCAATGTGTGGAGCTGCGTGTTTCGTCGCAGATATCGTGGGACTACTTTTCGGCGACATGTAGTCATGGATTTGTCCATACATAGGGTCTAGAAGGTAAAATTGATGGTCACTAACCACGAACCATTGACAATTTTTTCAGAGTTTTCAAATATGCAGGGCAATAATTGAGCTTCCTTTTGACAGCTTCACTAGCTTTCGTACACCTGCAATGATTCGTTATTGACAATCCGGGCTCGGCTGTTCATGTTACCAAAAATGAGCCGCAAAAAAATAATGATTGCTGATCCATGAGTTGGCTCCGTACCAAACTCTGAAGCCCTCTTTTAAACTCCGATATACAGGGAGGTCCATACAAAGCGTGACACAGCGAAAAATATTACAGCTTCGCAAGTGAATAAAATCAGAAGCTTTCGTTTTCACCTGATCGAGAAAAAAATTCTATCTTAGATTGACGCTGTGGATTGAAGCCTAGTCACGCTAAAAATTCCCAAAAGCGTCCATAGTTGCTTGCTTTGACACAAAAAGGTACCATGGCCCTTCAAAGTTTGCTTCTTATGCTTTTTCAGGATCTCGATGCGTGCGATTTTCATGGGGAAGGGGACTGCATTTAATAAAAAACTGATTTGTTACTTGATTATGATTGAATAAGAATTGAAGTCAGGAACAACCACAAGGGAGAAAAGAGTATGGAGAAAACGACTATTATCAAAAGATGAAGTGAAATAGACCAAAAAATGGATTTTTCGATGTCCAAACTTCATGAGGCCTCATATGAACAAACAATGTTTGCGCTTTCAACTCAAGCATTCTTGAACCCACGGATTCTCTTTCTGGCCTATCTGTGAGCAAAAAGTTCGCTCTTCCAAACCCAAGTCATTTTTGCTAAAAAAGGACGCGCGCTTTGAAATTCTCCGAGCAGAATAATTTATTTTACCAAAGCCGGAAGTGGATATCTTGGAAGCAATCTACATGATCTTATACCGTATTCCTTGTCTATTGGATGAAAACAGAAACATTTAATTTTGTTGAGTTCTTGCAAAGTTACGAAAGATTGTGCGACAAATTTCATGTGGACGACATTGTACTCGTCAGGATCAGATACATAAGGGGCTTGCAGAACAGTGAAATAGTAGGCTCTTCTGCCGTTTCAGATCATATATTGAGTTGTATTGCTTGTTGACGGATAGATGCCTGGGAGGCTAACAAGGGAACCGTGTCGAGTCGAAGTGGCCTTTCCAGATTAGACCCATACTGCTTTGAAGAGTATTAAACGATGATTCCAAATCTGTCTTCCAAATCTGCCAAGCGCCTCTGGACGCTGAGTTATGATCGTTCTTCGGAACGAAAAATGAACGCAGAATTTAGGTAAAAATGATTGTTACAATCTTTCCAGCGCTCAGATAAAGCAATGTTAAGTATTAGCATATTAAATAAAATGTATCCCATTGCATAAACAGCTCTTATACTTGACATTGGATCATTTGAGCAAATTTGGGCAATTTTGCTTCAGTTTTGCGTTCAATTTTTTGACCTGAAAAACGAGTATAACTCGGCGCCCAGAGGCGCTTGGCAGATTTGGAAAGCAGATTTAGAATCACCGATTAATGCTCTTCAAAGCAGTATGGGTCACATCTGGAAAGGCCACTTCGACTCGACACGGTTCCCTTTTAAGTACAAATGTCGTGATCCTGCTAGGGTCTAAAAAAGGCACGAGTATGAAACATCAGTGGAATGAATTTGTTAACTCTTAGCGAATGCTCACAAGCATAAATCAGCTCTCTCAATCTATGTTACCAACTTTTCGTTTTTGCAAGTTTCACGATATACATTTTCATAAAACCATACTAAATTTTTTTGGGCTGTATCAAAACACTTGCATCGCACTTCCGACGCAACAATGGTTTATTGCGCTTTGCGGCACATGAAAAAATCAAATTTTTCACTTTTCTAAATATATCATCGGGTAAAGCAGGCTTTGCTTGATGAGCGGAAGTTGAAAAGAATTTGTACAGAAAGCTATACCAATGCGGCAACTTCCGACGCGACGTCATGTAATATCGCCGTTTGGCACAAAATTAGTTTTTTTAACACACTATCAGTGGTATCAAATAGTGGTTCCAAGAATACAAACTAGAGTGTGTTAGGAGAAACCTAGAGCGAGTTCCGGCATTGCTGCACTTTCAAAGCAACACTGCTTTTGAAAATATTCCATAAACGGCATTGCCGGCTTTCCTCCTTTCCATTATTAACACGTTGACGACGATGTCGCGCAATGGTGCGCGACACCCTAAATATCAGTTTTAACGTGCACAATGGTTCCAATTTGTGCTCACATAATCAATTTAGGATCGGAAGTATTTCATGTTGGCCCCGCCCCCTTTTTGGCAAACTCCGCCCATTCCATTGCCTCTACAAAAAACTTTTTTATTCTCAAATCGCTTAGAAAAGCTCACAGATGACTGGGGAGCCTTAAATAATTTTAGTTTTGACCCCGCCTCCCGTAATGCAGGCTCCACCCCCTCAGTGGCAAGCTCCGCCCAGTTTCCAAAAAATGCCGGAATTTGCACGAATTCATTGATTTTAAGCGATTTTCAGCATTTTAGAAAAGTGGGCGGAGCTTGCCAAAAGTGGGCGGAGCTTCCCCGCCCACTTGCATTTTTGTATCCCACGCATAGATGCATACATACATGAAATGCCCGGAAACGGTTCGTCCACAGGGACAGACCTTCAAAAAACGGCTCGTCGTCAACGTGTTAAAGACTGGCTAATTATTTTCGAATGGGTACTTCGAACTGTTTTTATGAACTTTGGCCCTTAATTGTATCAAATACATCAAGTAACAGAACAGAAATGTTTTGCGAATTATGGAGAAAGATGAAGTACTTTGTTGACTTCATTACTTGCCAAAAGATTCGAAGAACACTAGAACATCATTTTCTAAGATATATGCAACTTCTTGATTGAAGTCAACGACTTTGAATTTTGAAAGATTGGTCACAACAACGTCCTAGTTGTGATTGAAACTTTCTTGAGCACTATTTATGGCATTATATCTAAAATCGTCTTCAGTGAGCAGTGGCTCTTCGCGCAGATTCAAGGCATCCATCCTTGATAACTGAGAGCTCTTTTGTTCCCCATAGAGCTTTGGTTCCGTCACTCAATATCCTTTGTATTCTATTTCATTACATAAGTTCTGTCAAAGCACTTGGGTCTGAAATGGCACCATCAAATTGGTACAAAAATGTAAGTTTCTCAGCTTATATTCGCAAAACACAGCAAAAGTATGTGGGTTTTTCAGAATGACGGACGTAACGACCTTCTGCATACAATGGCCAACAAATTAAATGAAGTCATAGCAACCATTTCTTCATCCAAGGACCTACCAGCTCCTATTAAAGCTCTTGCGTACGAATTGTCGCTATCAGATGGCAGTAAGAATGTTAGTTCTTTTTTTTCAAAATGGGTCGCCCAAAATATTCTACTGTCCAAAATTTTTGTCATTTTCAAACATAACAAGGCATTAGGGCCTTCTGTTTCTTTTTGTGTACCACTACCTGAAAATCTGTTTCTCAAAAGAATACATAGAGTGGCAGTTGAGCTATTGGGTCAAATTGTGCATATCACACGCTATTAGCATTGTAGCTTACTGTGCAAAAGCGGTTCCGATAGTGCTGTCTCAAAAATCGTGTGTCATACGGATCCAAATGGCCTTTGACAGACAAAATGGTTCCAAGTTGGATCTGGAAGTGTCATGAACTCGTCGCTTGTAGATTTGCAGCCATGGACCCTGTTCAAATACAAACGAGGAATGTAATCTTCTAAGAAAATAGCCAAGAAAAGACATTTCAATAAACCGATTATTCCCGAAGGTTTCAGCTGTGTAGTAAATGGCCCGTAGTTGGTCTCAAAGTTATCTGCCATCTCATTGTGCAATCTTACAGCATGATGATGCTATCCACAACGCTTACCTTGTGGAATCATTCGAAAATCACTTCGGCTTTTTTTCGGGAGGAATGCTTGCGCGATCTTCGTACCTAACAATTCCCCTTGACGGCAATGTCCAGGCAAATCTAATCTGGCCACATAGGTTTTCTGTCCGGAAATTGTTGAGGAGGTTCTAGCCAGGGTCAAGCGTGCTGATGCGATCCGGGACCCTCATTTACGACCCCCCCCCCCCCTTTTTTTTGAAGGTACCCATCCGTACGACCCCCCCCCCCCCCTCCCCTTTTGTCCCCCTTACCTCCCATGCCCACATTCCTCGCGGTAACCTGCATAAACGAATGCCAATCTCAAAAAACACTTGCGTGAGAACTTCAGTGAGCGGAAGCAGAATTTCTAGGCCAATGGGTGCGTCCAGCATCTGTAGCACACATACACACCTTTAATAATGTTTGAGATTCTGCAAGTTTTTTTTTGAATTTTCAGGCAAGGCCAGCAGGCGACACAAATATTTGCACGGAGAAAAAATAACATCCTTGAACTACAAAAGATGTTTTCGACTAAGAAGCTTACTTCCTACCTCTTCCACAGCTTTTCCTCGAAAAAAACCGCTTGAGCGGTGTCCAAAACGACGTCAAAAACGTGCATGAGCACGGTAGTTTGAAAATTCGTAACTAAGGCCAGGAAAAGACTGAGAGGTTGCAAAGTACAGGTTCTGTAGTATAGTGCCCAGACTATCCAAAGAAAAAGTTTCAGCCCTTGAGGAGCAGTGAGCTCGAAAAAATTTAGATGCGACTCTCGCAAATCAAGATGCAATCTTAAAAAGCAAAAACTGGGGTTTTTGAGCTCAAAATTTTGTAACTTACCAGAGAACTTATAAAACAGCCTGCAACTCCTATGAGGGAAAGTGGGGGGATGGCCTCATATTACAGCAGAATTGCAGCCAACAAGCTTCAATAACTCCGAAGAAATTTAGATGCGACCCAGGTACGACCCCCCCTTTCCTGACTTTTTGCTACCATACATAAAATCATAAGAAAATCCACAATTTACAGAATAACACCAGATTTTGCATAGTCATAGCAGGACTTATTCAAAGTACATATAAATTGTAAGGGCGTATAAATTGCATTACAAAAAGATTTACGAATCATTAATTGTCATCGTTGATCTAGATGTGCGCTTTTGTCGAGGTGTGTGAGGCTTTGGTGAGGTTCTGGAAGCAGAATTTCTAGGCCAGTGGGTGCGCCCAGAATCTGTAGCACACGTACACACTTTCAATAATGTGATTCTGCAAGTTTTTTTTTTGAATTTTCAGGCATACTTCAGGTCAGGTCACCTAGGTAAAAAAAAGAAATCAAGTCTTACTCTCCCAAAAATGCAGCGAATAAGGCGAGTTTCTATATAGGCAAATGTTTTACATTGCATGTTGCTCAGTCGTTCTTATCTGATATATTGGTACTCTGCATTCTACGAATTATTATAACGAATATGTAATATTAGGTTGGCACATAAGTAATGCAACTTTTTATATAACTTTTGTCTCTTTGAACGTAGCACATTCATTTTTTGGCAATATAAGGACTATGAGGTAAGCTTCTAATGCTCACATTTTTGCCGAATTTTACCGTGTTATGTAAGGATTACGGTAGGTTAATGATACTATGGGAAAAATTTTAGAGTGCATCAGATTTTGCTGAAATATGACCTATAGGGCGTATTCGACATGCTGATCACAAAAATGAGATCCGTTTCGCATGAAAAGGCCTCGTTCGTGAGATCAAAAAATGAAGTTCATTTTAGCGACAAATGAATATGGTATTCGTGTTCACCGTATAGGATTACCCTACAGTGCAAAGTTATAGCAAATTCTGACTTTTCGCAGCTTAGTTATTGACAAATTGCCTTCAAAACTTGACGCATTTGACTTGTTCAACTTCCCAAAGGCGCCCCACCTTAATTTGTATTTAAATTACATTTCTTTTTCACTGATTCCAATGTGCCAACTTCCAGCTACATGCTGCCTATAATTGCTTTTTCATATATTTGAATCAGGTTTCGTAGGGCTTCATGTTTGCCAAAAAATCGTGAAACCTTGATTTTCAGCAGTTTTCAAAAAATGCTTAGATTTTTTGTATCACGTTATCAAAAATCAAACGGTTTGCGCAGACTTGCAGCTTACATCACGATCTACTTGATATCACAAAATGAAATTGCTACATAAAATAAGGAAAAAGTTGCGCGAAAAGTTGCAAAACTTATGTGCCAACCTAATAATTATTTGCTATTTGGTTTGCTTTCAAGCATGCGGCTTTTTTATCCAAACTACCCTTTCTTACGACTCCCTCCCACCGTAGGCCCCCTTTACGACCCCCCCGTTGCGACAATCGCATCACACGCTTGACCCTGGTTCCAGCTAAGGCACTCCTTAAACCGCAGCGCAAATGATTCATTCGCGGCTGAGAAATCCACCGCGCCTGCGCCGTGACCGTAAGACTTAGGATGGGTCCCAGCGCGAACGTAGTGTTGAAGTGAGCGAAGTCGTTTTCGTGTTACGGTCACGGCGCAAGCGCGGGATTTTGGAGGACGGATTTCTCAGCCGTGAATGGGCCATCGCTGCCGCTTGAGTAGTGCCTTAGTTAGAACCCCTCATCAATTTCCAGGCTGACTCATGCGCCCAGATTTACCTGGATAATGCATTCAACATTTACGAAAACTTGACCCACATGGTGGCATGCACTGACTGCGTAACACGGCTTAATTTTCTTCAAAATAACTATAATTGGGTACTTTCTTTTCGTGAGGTCTCTTACGCTCTGGCCCAAGAGGATATTTGACGTTTTTTGGCTGCTTTTTAGAATTTGTGTAAGTATAGTACAGATGATGATCTGCGCATTTTAGCGAGAAATTTTCGGCTTATTCGTGGAAGGCATTGTCCCACAAGGCAAACAACTGGAAATGCGCGTTGTCCTCAGCGTGTTAACATCACAGTTTTTGTGGTGGCTTGTATTTGCGGCCATGGACCCTGTTTAAAAAACTACATACGAATTTTGTAATCTTCTAAGTTTCTCCAAAAAAGAAGCTTTCGAGCTTTCCTCTGTAAATACTGTCAATCAAATCAGGGCTCGGCACAGCTGGCACCGGGTCAAGCTGGATATCGTTTTGAGGGGAAAGCAAAGAAGATATCGTTTTTGTGGGTTAGGCCTAAGGCATACCTCCAGCGATCCAATCGTCACGATTTTCGATCGCTGACTAGACTGCCTGGGCGACCTTCCACTGCGTCAAAATCACCCATCGCTCGTCTCTTGGGCACACCCGTAGCGATTCTGTGAACGCTCACACACCACACCGCATTATAAGCACTTTTGGAAAACTTGCGCTAAATTGTTTGAAGTCATCTATTCAAGAGAATTCGAACAGATCGTGGCGCCATATATTTCAAGAGAACATTACATCAAACAGAAAGAATATGAATTTACACACATCCCAGTAGTTACCAACGTTTTTCTATCGGCGCAAGTTCAACAGTTACATCTGCAATGAAATCGACAACCAGTTCATAAAGTTTTGAGTTCTCTTTCAGTCACTGATACGCATATACGTGCAGTAAAATCATGCTTTCGGCTTTGTAAAAAAACTGTGGGTAGGCTATTTTAACAACAAGTGCTGCGCGAGCTCTTGTCTGCCAATCACCAGATTCGTGTTGAGGTGGAGTCTTGCCAACTCACAGCCTGGCGATCTTTGCAAGCGAGAGAGTACGAAAAGCAATGCTACAACGTGGAGGTCTAACAAGTTCAGCCTTGTTATCAGGCAAAGTCTGCAATACGCCTCCACACGAATCTGGGAGCGATCATATATGCCTGAAGAACCGACAATGCACATTTATTCTGCTCAGAGATTATGGCAAGAACACTTGAGATTCGGTCACCATTTGTTTTTAGGAAAACAAGAACAGGAGAATATAGTGCATTGCGAGAACAGTAAATGCTAACACAGTGAATGAGGTGACATGTGGGAAGCATTCCATACTATATACTTCGCATGTGTTGTTTTCAAGAATTCATAGTATGGAATGTTACATGACCTACCTTCTCTCAAGCAGAGAGGAAGCGCTTGTGTGAGATGGAATAGTCCTAAATGAAATTTGCATTTGCAAAAAATTACAAAACTTCATAACAAAGAAGAAGCTATTCGAGCGATTCGTTCATAGCTGGGTCGGAACTAGCTACGGCGACATCGCTGAGTTTCAGCGATGTCGCGACGATTTCTCTGCTGGGCTTTCTCTACAGTCTGCTCCAATCGGGATCAGGCCGAACCGTCGGCGTAAATTTGCGCGCTCGCAGCGCTAGCGGTCCGCGCTGCATGTGCGCGCTGTCGGAGAGAGCAAAATGATTGAAGAGAGAGCAGAGAAGCAGGCCGTGTGCGTGACGGCGAAACCCTAGCGACGCGGTTTCCCGCTATGTCAATTTTGGCCTGGTTGGGATTGAGGCAGAATGTATGCCCGTCCAAAAACGGCTCGCGATCCGTCGCGGCGTCAATATAATACAGACGCGGCGGGACCACACAGCTGGAGGCGCCTGCGCTGCGGACTCGGAACATATGTCCGAGTTGGAATTTGCGACGCGACTGGGATCGCGGGAGGTATGCCTTAGGCCTTAGTCGTCCCTGTTTGCTAGAATGCCAGGGGCATGCCGCCGGCGTGCTGGGCTTACTCTTTACACCTCTGTTAATTAGCATGGTGTACCTCTCGCGTGTCAGCGGCGGTGCTAACACAGCGCTTTACTTTGAATTCTGCCCCAAACAAACAAAAACCTTGTTTACAAACACAAAACACGATCATATGACACCAATTTCGGTGTGTGCGTGTGCGTTGGGGGCGAATTATGGCCCAAAAGTTTATGAAAACTTATGTGAATGAAAGCTGTGCTGCTTTTTTGCTTACTCATTATACCTCTGCTAGCTGAGTTAGCTGCCACCGTGCCAGCTGAGTTCCAGGGAAAATCAAGACGAAGGTTCCGGATCATTTGGTACTTCGTGCCGAGCCCTGAGTTAAATGCTCATCCTTGTCAGTATAACGTTTTCATTAAATCCTGTTAACAGCTGAGTCAATCTTACCGGAGTTGACCGAATGATAAGAAGCAAAGGTCAATATGGGAGCAAGCCGAAAAATGTTTTTTTTGTAAAGCATATCAGCCGTCGAACGTCGTGGTGAAGCTTTCGTTGTGCCAGACTCCATGGTTTGGTGGAAATCAAGTGTCTCGTTGACAATGGTGGAGGGATGAATAATTTATTCGGACAAACCGGTTTGAACCGGGAAGAGCATATTACAGTCGGACCTTTTCGTATAGATGGTAAGTCGGAACTGACCCGTCACAATCAAGCTGGGATACATACTTTGAGAGAGAAAGTACCGCATGGCGCGACCGCTGCTAAACGGGTGTCATTCAACAGTGAGTGATTCGGTACTTGAATATAAGCAATTGGGAACGTAGTCTATGGACATGACCATAGGCTATCAAGACTACAGATTTTGAGGTTGGTAATACATAAATCATCAACACATGGAGTACGGCAAGCAAAAAAAAAACAGTATGTCAGCGTGCAGTCTGTCCCGACCGCGATGAGCCCAAAACGCTAGCTTAGGATAGCGCGCTCGCAATGATAGCGATTTGCGCTGGTCTGCTTAGGGGCGCGCTTTACGATCGGAGTAGATTGAGCTGCGAAATTTTATGCTATAGAACAAGCTATTAAAATATAACAGCCTAAAGGAAGGACCAGCTGGTTAAAGCTGGAACTGTTCCAGCCAAATCGGGAAAAAGTTAAGCACGGCTTTCATTCACATGTTTTTATGATTTTTTAGGAAAATTGTGTCTCATTCACGCGATGCGAACGCCAAATTTGGTGTCATACCATTGTAAATAATTATAAACAAAGCTTTTGTTAGTTTGGGCTAGAGCATGCCGCCTGTACGCGGGCGACACGCTTGCGTCTTCTCCAGCTCCGAGCCCGCAAAAGCGCCACTCCTTCGCTTCCCCAGAAACGATAGCCAGCCTGGTTCCGGCTGTGCCTGGTCCTTTCAGCAGTCTGGGCTTTCGCGAAGCGATGCGCTACGCAACGTCAACAATGCAAGAGCCAGCTCCAGCAGTACTCCTGTCACCATATCAATTATGGCATCGAGTCGAGCCACTCCTCTCCCACACTTTGCCACCATGGCACCTAGCGCCGGAAAGTTTTTGTGGCCTACAAAATTCGAGCACGGCGTGCGCGGCAAAGCGGCCGCTGTGCGCGGTTGGTTCAACCTATAGCTAGCTCGCACTAGCTATAGGGCTGTGCGTGGTAGTGAAGGTCGCTGGAATTGCAGCCATTGCTCACACAATATGCCATAAGGTCCCAAACACAATCTCCGTTTTCTCCAGATGATTCAAGGCTAACATCTGTTAGCAGAAAAGTGCCTGCCAGGAAATAGAAAACGAGAAAGCTTGATATGTGAGCAATGGCAGCAATCTCACCGCCTTCGGGATTTTACTTTCTCCTTGAGCCTTTCATGTCCTACTTGAATTCAGCAAACAAAATTCGTCCTCTACGAGACTGTAAATCTGTCAGCTCTATAATGGATAAACACTGACGTACCCAGCGACAGATGACCGATAAATCAGCGCTCCACAGTCTCCTATATCAAGTTCTTAGGGTGACAAGGAACTTCTGGATGCAGTAGCAAAAAAATTGGATGAAGTCATTGGAGTCATTTCTACTTCTATCGAGAAGCTACCAGCTCCGTTGCAAGCACTTGCATCTGGATTATCGCCATCAGATGAGGTTATTTCGTTTACCTAGGATTTGCAGGCAACTCCGAAATCATTGATATCAAACTTCCAGAATAACAAATATGACGATCTTCTGGATGCAGTAGCTAACAAATTAGATGAAGTTGTTGCAGCCATTCCCTGCATACCGATTAAAAGTTTACCAACTCCAATCAAAGCACTTGCGCTCAAATTGCCGCCGTTGGATGAGGTTGGTTCTTATGCTTGCGCAAAGCACATTACAATGATATATATTGAAATTCTAGAAGGACAAACTGGTGGATCTTCTATATACAGTATCCAAAAAATTGGAAGAAGTTGTTGAGGCTATTCCTATTTCAGCCGAAAAGCTGCCAGCCCCTTTGAAGGCTCTTGCATCCGAACTGTCATTAACAGACCATGCCAACCATGTGAGTTTAGATGTTTGAGCTGTTCTGCAAATGTGTTTTTTGAGCACTTGCCGATAATAGGGATTTCATGAAAGACTCAGTGAACTAGTAAGGCTCACTCTCGATGTACAAAGAGCGTCTTTTTTTCCTCTGCCTTCTTGGATTATATCTCGTGCGAACTACCAAATTCTCTAAAAAAAGTTCCGTATTTCCGCAGTGCAGAATAAATCGAAAGATGTGAGGCAGCGAAGCTGCCAAGTACCAGCCGAACCGCCGCTTATACTATTAACCGAGACGGCTGCCCGGACGACACGCCATGGAGACTGCCTCATGCTCTGCACCTACAACGCCAGTACATCTCCACAAACGCTGATTTTCATACTCTTCACGAGCTGCAGAGCACATCAAGGACCACGTCATCGCTTTGCAGGAAACGAAGTCCAGGAAGAAGGACGTGCGACAGATGAGTGATGGGACGCTCATCATTCTGGTGGGAAGGTTTTATCAGGAAACGTTGGTTTGAGGCGTTGGCTTTGTCGTCCACCCGTCTGTCATCCATCTTGTCAATTCGCATGAGATCCTATCACCTAGAATAGCCATTCTGCGACTGACATCCACGTCAGAAGACCATCAGTATCATTTATTGCTTCTCATCGCCAGCATCAGCAGTTGGCGATTCAGAACTAGATGCTTCCTACGGAGACGTGGAGGAGGTCGTCGCAGCGAGAAGTCCTTTCGCAAATTTGTGTGGGCAATTTCAACGCGAAATTGGGATTCACTAGAAAAGGAATATAAATAGGAAAGTTTGGATATGGGCTCCGGAACGAAAACGACAACCCCCTCGTTGGGCTTCTCTCTGCCGCACGACTTTTCCATAGAATTATTTTCATGAAGAAAAAACATCGACGGTGGACATGGGAATCGCCCAACAGAATGACTCACGCGGAGATCGACCACATTCTCACCAACTGAAAGAGCTTGCTTGATGTCTCAGTAGTTCAATCCTTCTGCAGTCTCTCCGATCATGCCTTCTTCGAGCGAAGATACGATTCAGTCGAAGGCTGGAGAAGAAAGTCTGTCATAGTGCCACAAGAAGGAAGAAAGTCGTTTATGACGGTAAAAGGCTGGAGGAGCTCATATCAGGTTGTGACTGGCCCATTGAGGAGAACCCAGTGCGACTAGGACTGGCTTCTGAAAGTAATGGGGGCTTGCGGAGAGTGTGCACCAGTGACTTCTGAGAAGAACTTGGGCGCATCTCGAAGACCACCAAGGAATTGGAACGAAGATTTCTGAAGCAGGATCCGAGTGCAACCAATCTCGAGCGACTGATAGCCAACGTCAGTTGCAGAACAGCTTTGCAGGAGGATCTCAGGAAGTACAGGAAAGCCAAGATACTGGAAGCAGCCGAAGGAAAACGAAGTCTTATAAAGTGCCGAAAAGAACTCTGCGAAACTCACGTACCGCTGGCTGCACTATTGAACAAAGAAGGGACTCCGATCACTTCCCGATATAAGATGGAATCTATCGCAAAGAAATTCTACACCAACCTCTTCCACTCATCAACACCCTGCCGATGCCCGTTGTTCCCACTGGAGAAGTACCACCACGAATTCTACCTGCTGAAGTGCGCACGACGATTCAGACCATGAAGACATCCAGGACCAGACCATCTTTTTGTTAAATTTCTGCGAGCCAGAGGAAAACGTCTGCGCGGGATTCTCGCGTCACACTTAACATCTTACTTTCAAAAGGAAAGGATTCTTGAGCATTGGAGAACGTCAAGAACCGTTCTTCTCTGCAAGAAGGTGAACGGGAGGATCTTCGGAACTACCGTTCGATATGCCTGCTGAGTATGTTGTACAGGTTTTTCGCGAAGATTATTCTTGTTCGCATACTAGGACACTGGATGAAACCCAACCCCAAGAACAAGCTGGATTTCGCAAAGGATTCAGCTGCATGGACCACACCCAGATGTCAGATGATCTTGAAGGTCATAGAAATCTGTCGGAAAACTGGCTGCCTCTCGTCCTAACCTTCGTCGACTACGAGAAAGACTTTGACAACGTCGGAATTAACGCCATCCTGTCTGCGCTAGTCGATCAAGGAGTGGACCCAGCTTACGTGAGGACACTAGCCGACTGCTATAAGGACTGCACAACAACGATGCAACTATTCCATCTCCCCCTGACCATCACAGTTGGGAAGATCCGACAAGGCGACACAATTTCGCGGAAGCTGTTTGCCGTGGCCTTGCAGTGGGTGATAAAGCCACTGGACTGGGACGATAGAGGCATACGAGTTGATGGGAAATTCCTGTCGAACCTTCATTTGCGGACGACATCGTTCTCTTCTCGAGCAGTATCACTGAAGCAGAGACGATGCTGAAGGAACTAAACGAAGTAGAGAAGAATATAGGACTGCGAATAAATCGGAAGAAGACTCAGTTCATAAAGAACGCCCTTTACGAAGATGCAGAAATGGAATTGGGAGGCATCCTTTTATAGAGACGTCTTCTTACGTGTACCTCGGACGTTTGATAAACAGGAGAACGACTTGAGGGAAGAACTTAACAGGAGAAGAAGAGCAGCCTGGGCCGCCTTCGGGCCTCTGAAGGAAGCCACCGACCAACGACGGACCCGGAGCTTCGTGCCCACCTGTTCGACTCAACCGTTCTCCAGGCGCTCTGTTACGCAGCTGAGATTTGGGCCGTCACTTGGGCCGTAGCTGCGTCCAAAGCTCTAATGTCCACCTATAGAGCGCTTGAGTACAGTCTTCTGAATACGAACCGACACAAACAAGATCTTTTTACTTCGCTTTACGGATATGAGAAGAACGTCCCGGCTTCATGATTCAGAGGATCTCGGACATTCAGACATTCGCGGTTAAGTCCCGCCGGTGAAAAAGTTGTGTCCCGACGGAATGACTGCGGGACTCAAGTAAAATGTTTCGGGAGAAAACCGGGACTCCTACATTTCGTTCGGGATAATACTGCGCGACACGCGCTTTTGTCCTGAAATGTTTTCTACTGAGAAAACCGGGAGCTCCTGCGGGAGTCCCGATAATGTCGCTATTCAATCACCGGCGGGACTCCCGCTCATATACAAAAATCAGCTAGAGTCACCGTACATCAGCTTCGGAAACCAAGTCCGAGTTCAAAGTCGGATAACGACAAGATCCTCTCAAAGGTTGTCCGTTAGACAACATATTAATAGTGTTCTTGCTTGTAAGATTAGAAACACATCCAAAGTTGTGGACATTGAGGGTAGTCTGACCATGCGTCGTATTTCACGCAAGTATCCTTTACGCTCAGACACTGGGAGCGCGCCTCGAAACCGCGACTCCCGATAATCTCCCGCTTCGAATTTTCTGTCGGGATAATCCCGAAAGTCGCGAGAAAACCGGGTGTCGCGCAAGAGTCCCGATTTTCTCGCGATTTCTCATTTTGTGGGCGGATCTCCTGCGGGACTTAACCGCGAATGTCTGAGATACGTTGCGAAAGCGAAACATCTATGGGCCGGTCACATCATGGGAGGAGCAGATGACAGATGGACACTCCCCGAGAAAGAACTCCAACGAGATGGGCAGACGTGTTCGTGGAGAGGATGAACCAGCTGTGAAACTAGCTGATACGACTTTTGCACCTGAAACTCGTAGAAGCAGCCACCGACGACAATCAAGAAGATTGGGGATGTCTTAAGCGAGAGACAAGGAAAATTGGAAATTTCTGTGCTGAGGCCAGCACGTCGTGTGAGGACGGGCCAGTAAGTAATCACTGTAAAGGAGCGCTGGTACTTGCCATGAACATCTAACCAATTATTTTAGTTTGACTAGTCAAGTTTATGAAGTTTGTAATAATTTATTTGGGAAGAGTCCAGCTTTTCGAACGCAACCGAAAATCCCAAAAAGCTGACTCTACGAAGCAAATCGATTTTGATTACTTTGCACAAATGATGTCCGATGACTATCACTTCAGAACGCAAAAATTACAAAAACTTTCATGTCCCTGCTTCTCTTGTATGGCTTAGAAAATTCGAGATCATAAAAAAGACGATTTTGTGAAGCAATCAGCAGATCTAAAGATATTGTCCAGATTTCTCCTCATTTGTATTATTTCATTCTTTTTTTGAATATCTAGGACAATTTTGAAAATTAGCAAAACTAGCAGATAGAAATGACATGCATAGAATTTTGGCAACTTTCAAGGACCATTCGACAGGTTATGGTTCGAAAAAGTAATATTCAAGAAGAGAAGAAAAATCTACATCGGATGCATGTTTAAAGCTTCAGGTCTCCTTGAACGATGCTTTGTAACCGATCATATAAATAGACAGCTTTCGGGACAATCTAGTACTCAAAATGACCTCAGTTTCGAAGTGCTGCAGGTCAACTTCTTTGGACTTTTAGGGTAACGGACAGAAGGATCTTCTGGATACAGTGGCCAAAAAGCTGGATAAAGCTACCTCTACACATCCCAATATCAGGAGGCTATCTCTTCCTTTCACGGCACTCGCATCTGAATTGTCGCCCTCGCGTCACAACAGTGTTAGTTCACAATTTCAATGCCTGCAATTCCTTAAAATCATTTGTAAGAAATTTATAGATGAGTGAACAAAAGGACTTTCTGCATTCGGTGGCCCAAAAGTTAGATGAAGCGAAGGACACAGTTGTGGAAAAAGTACGTTTCAATGTAACGGCTATAATCCGTAATTCAAAAAAAATGTAGAATGCTTTTCGACAAAATCCTATATCATGGAACTTGAAGCTTTCCAATCTAAATGCTCTTATTGTTAGAAAAAATATTATTGAGATAGCTCTCTGATAATTTATTGCTACAGAGTATATAATTTATGTTGAAAGCTCTTCACTTCCTGAAAAAAATTCAATTGACCGTTTGTAGGCGAAAGAAGCAACGGAACAAGCTGCAAAAGAAGTGAAGGCTGTGAACGAGAAACTTAGGCAGATCACAGAAGTTTAAATGATTCGAAGTATTTCAATGCATTCACTATTCTTCAATTTGTGGTAATCACGCTTCCGCAGAGTACAATGGTTGTATAGTCACCAAAGCGATTGTATGTAAGCGAGTGATTGGCAGAGTGTTGAATCCATCTCTGTTGTCTAAATTGACTGTTTTCATAAAATTATCAAAACCATTTCGGGTTGCAGATGAAGTTCACAGTAAGGTATTACTTGTGCAAGCTAAATAAACCCGACAAAAGTGTGAGAGTGTAGCGCAACAACGGTTCGGCTCATCAACTTCTCACGACGAATTGTGCAACATGTCCTCAAAACTAGACGTATCAGCTCGGTAATGCAAGTTACATTTCGTGGGGTTCCTCTAAGATGTTACGAGTTAGTAAAGAATATTAACGCGATGTTTAAAAGTTGTTTTTTTAAGTGTTGTTGTTTCCCATTGAAAAAAACATAAAACAGAAGGTTAGAATTCTGATTTAGCACTGGCACATGTACTGGCTTCGTAATCATATCCGAAGAAATTTCTATTAATACCTTAAGAAAAACAAGATAATATGTATCTGACATAGTACAGAACATGAGAGGCTCATGAATTTGCGGCGAATTGTACAAGTAGCGGGACTCTCAGCAAAATCTGCTAAGTGGTTTAGCTGCAGAGCCCCGCAGTTCGTTTGTTCATGTTGGTACGGTTGTGAGGAAAGTTCTGCCAGTTGACTTCAGCTTCTGTTCTATCTGCGCGCTTATAATGAGTGGATGTGAATCAACGATAACTTGGTCATGTGTGCTGACAACCTTGAACTATTGATTAGGTATATCATAGATGCTCTTTTCCAAGAATCGGGTGGCTGCGTTCCACAACATTCAAAGAGTCCAACTGAACGTTGAACTCAATGAAATATTTTTGCTTGGGCATGAACATGGGTCAGATATCGGAACAAGTAATAGTCGGACGTCGCCTCATCTTACGAAGTTTGTAAAATTTATTTCAAAACCAAGCTTCCGCAAGTTTTGCGCATTTATTTGAAGTGCCTTTTCGCAGACCTAAGGGCAAAGGATTGTTTCTTTTGGAGTTCTCTTTCTAATTTACAGTAATTTCTTCGTGCCAAATAGCGTATTTGGCACCGCTCACTAAATCACAGCACACATCCCAAATTAACCCCTTGCTTCGCATTAATTTTGATGAATATAAGAAGCATGGCAGAACTTTTTTTACAAGCTAATAAATCACTCAAAATTTTTTGTGCTTCGCTCAGTCTTCGCCCTACGAAGCAGCATCTAAAATCCTTTTGCTCTCCGTTTGCCTCCACTCAAACCCTTGAACCGTTAAAACAAAGTCATAATCCTCAGCGTTGTCGCTCCAAATCGGAACGAAAGATGAACATCATTTTCACGATTTGTGGATACTATATCTATAGAATGTTCCGAAAGTTCTGTCCGATTTGCACATTTTCTGATTTAGAATGTTATTACTTTTCAGAAATTTTTGAACGAATTACATTTTTATGGACGAGGCCAGTAACGATTATCATAAGTACAGCACGCCATGTGAAGAAGGCAAGTGAGAGAAAAAAGAGAATTTGAGGAATTCTGCAAGGTTTACTCTAAGAAAGTTTATTTCGACATACTAATGCACTCCTTTGAAGACTGGCAGACATATTTGGTTACCCATTTTAGCCTATACTTCGTAAATCATTTATGGCTAAGGTGAATCTACGTTGTCTTTGTCGCACAGATATTTCAAGAGAAAAGCAAAAAATGCCATCATTTGAGACCTGCTCAGCGCGAGGAGTGGCATGTCATCAAATATTACAACTTTCCGACATTTCGGAAAGTCTATGCCTATAGTCCAAATTTGGTTTCATATGCTAGCTCTACGCTGTAAACAAGCAGTTTGTTGATTTTGGCTTTGCTTTCAAACCGCGTGCTTTTCGCAAGACAGGTTATTACACGATGTAGCACGCCCATCGCGTAACGACTTGTCTTTAAAGGCATTGTCTCACCAAAATTTAGTTGCCGAGATTTTTGCATTTTGCAAGCCTGTCGGACCCTGTCTAGCACTGTATGGGCTTAAAATCGCATGAAGTTCCCAAAAACACCGTTTTCTGAAGACCCCGCGGAGGCGACGTGGACGAGTTGTGCCTTCCAACTTCAGCCTCAGCCACAGTGGCAGCAACACAGGGGAGGTGGATGTCAAGTGGAGAGACATGTTCAAACGCGTAAGGGGGGAGACCGAAGGAGTCGTCCGCGCGTACCAAGTCGCTCTCCGCGTACCACTTTGAGGGAATTTTTCTCAGCGTGGAGAAGGTCAAACTGAGTGGGACTTGTTGCAATGGCCTATTTAGAGGTCCCTGTAATAGAATATATGAAGATCCGCGCAACCTCAACTTTGGTGGGACACTGCCTTTAAAGCTTGTTCTTGACTGAAAGTTCGTGTTTTTTGCGCTACAGGAAGTTTGTTGAATGTCTTGCACATTATATGTGCGATCGTCCTCTCGTACTTCTCTAGTAGCGCATGACATGATTTTTCCGGGGCTTCGCCCCAAACCCCGCGAGAACGACATCCCCTTGGCTTTTCGTCGCAAAAACGAAGTCCAGTCTGTTTCCATACGATTTGTGCCGGACTCCGGTCGGGACGCGTGACTTTACGACCTCAAACAGTGATTGCCTAACATCAACTGCTAGAAGTTGGTAATTTAATCATACGATATTGCTATTCCATGAAGAGTCTAAGCAAGACTCTAATAGTGTGATAATAATAATGTCTTTCTTGCCATAGCCATAATTGAGTTACGCGCATATAGACTCTACTTGATTTTGTGTTTTTATCAAGAAAAATGACCTTGCATAAGAGTCAAATTGATTTATTCATTCTCACTATCACTGCACAATGAATCACTTTCTACGTTGAGTGGACTTAGCTTATTTGCATGCGTTATAGATACAGCAAACGCAATCGTGTCCGTTGTTGGAAGGAAATCCAGCTCCGTCGAACTAAAATCTACTCCTTGAGGAAAAAATAGCTAAGATTATTGTGCATACCGCAGTTAGTCCAGCAGCCAACGCACGCGCCTGACAGCATCCCTCACAGCGATCTCTCGGGTTCATTCCATCCACGGTGCAGGTCGCCGTCGTCATAACTCCGTCGATGCTCCCGGTAAAGTTTGCTGTTCTTGTACAAGCTGAGTGATTTACTTAATGGACCTTTAGAAAAAAATCTTTGTCAGCCTACTTTTTCAACTCTAAGAAACAGATGAATACGATCCACAATCTACTAGGCCGTGTTCAGATAAATGCAATTCTTGCCCGCAAAATCTAGCTTGGTGGCAAGTGTGAAAAAAATTACCAAAATAACCTTTGGTCGCAGCAGCAAAGAAAAGGAAGTAATTGACCTACAGAATCCACAGCGTAGACCGTTTTGTGGCGTTGGCTGGCTCTGCGCCTGAGCACAGACAATTGCCGATATTGTGAGCGAAACGACGAAAAGCATCTGTTGTCAAGTATAAGTGGCGTTAATCATTATGAGATTATATTGAAAATGATGCTATGCCGGCTGGTGGTCAGACGCTTTCATAGAGCATTGCCACATCGTGACAGTCATATCGGCGGCGCACATGGTTCACAGCCGTCAACATGATTTTCCATATTTTTTCTTCTCTTTCCTCTTGACAAATATAAGAATCTAGTAGTTGAAGGGATTTCATTTAGAGTTGAGTAAAGAATTTGTTAAAGTGATTCAAACCTTGTGACGCACTTCATGAGCAATAATCGCGAACGACACCATTGTCACAATCTGGCAACCCACACACCAATGGGCTACTGTACAGTGAGTAATAACGACGAAGCATATAACAGGGAAATTAAGTATTTGGTGTTCTGTATGATGTATTCAATACGACAATAAGAGCGTGTTAGATGTGAAGCAAGACGCCGGTTTTCAGATGCGGAAGGTTTTTTGACCGTCTTAGAAGTATCAGTGTAGGCTAGATGATATTATCATCTGACTTGGCTGGTTGTACAATGAGCATGTAATAAAAAAGAACGCGATATTCATCTCAACGCCCTATTGTAGCATCTGAAGACGTTTGCTGGAGAATAACACTCTGTCACAGTGGCTTCTTCAGTGCAGGGCAAAAAGCAACGCAAGACTGACAAATGACGATAACGGAAGAGACGCTTTCACTTTCATGCAGGTGGCACCTTCGGAAATTAAGGCGAGAGCTTCAACAGAGACTTTGAGAGGATGCCCCAAGACATGAAGGGTGGGTTTGTGGGAGTTTGGAGGATCATGTCATGAACAAGCAACACAGGGCGGAGCACTCAGAACAGCTGCTGCTCATATGCTGCTTTCGCTTATGGGCGAAAAAGAAGCTCGGCATCTGGTATAGCATCAGCTAAGCTGGGGTTCTAGCATAATGCAGTAGTTCTGCACAGGACAAAGCTTGCTAAAGATGAACTACGACTTCATTTACTTTATAAAGTCATGTTGTAAATCGGCTGGGTTCGGATGCATTCTTGCTCACAAAGCCGTTCTTCCATTACCTTATACTCAAGACGCAGAAAAGACTACTTGGCGGAAAGTCCTGGGACAATCTACGAGTAATTACCACTAGCTACTCGTGGCGCTGCAAAGGGCTTTATTCATTAGCGATAGAGACAATTCAACAATTTCTGCCGTTTCGGACCTACGTCCATCGGTGCCAATTTTCTCGTTTTTTCTCTATCACTGATGGGTCGTATGATCCGAAAGTAGTTTTCTAATGAAGCGCTACCTAGACGTCTTCGAACATGTACCTTCATCACAATCTTGAAATCTCATGTACCTTCTCGTAAACTTGCAGTGCTTACACACACTGATGATTCGTATCGTACGAATCACCGTGAATGGTATTGTCGTGATTGAGGAACGCGATGAGTGAAAACTTTTGCATCAGTTTATTCTGTTAAGGCCGCTTTTTCTAACGTTTGTTCAGTTTTCAGGAAATTTACCGTACTTTAGGCGCTAAGTTTCTCAGGGGACGCAGTGCTAAGCTTTCCACACAGCTAACAGGCAGTATATATCACCAGTCTCGGATTGGGAGTCTACCGTTTGAAAACCACATGTAAATCGGCATGGCATTTTTAATTTATGAAATCTGCAAACGAACTATTTCGGCTAGCAGCTTACATTCACTCAAAGCTTAGCTTTCTTTGCCCTGTGCCAACCCAGATCGGATGCGTTCAATACTTTTTATTGTTTTGACGTCTCCGCAAAATACATATGACAGGATTTTGTAGGACTCACTGTGGTTGTTTCGACTACGAGTTACCCATTCCTAACAGTCTAAATTCAGCTTTCTAAAGAACTAGACCGTTGTTTGAGTCGTTTTGAATCCTCGAAAGCGGAAATAAAACAGAACAATCTTTGAAGATTTGCAAAGTTATTACAAAGTCACCTTTTACTCTTTTTTGGCCACTTCTCAATCACGACATTCTTTTTGATCGCTGGAATACTTTGAACTCTTGGAACTGTACATAGAGAGTAATAGGTGTGAAATGGAGCCGTTCTGTACAACTGCAGTGTGCTGAGCGGCATTAGTGACGCATCGTAGTCGCAGGGATCGTTTTGGCAGCGCTTTTGCCGGTTATCTCTATACTAGCTGGCTTACCCGGCTCCGCCGTATCCGGACCAAACTTGGCACACATACACTTCGGGCCCTGGCGGGTGTCACAGTCCACTTTTCGTTATCGATCGATGTCGATTTTACCGATTTTTATCGATGTTTTTGCAGAGTTCACCTACAGGGCTAGGAGTTGGCACAGGGGGGAAAGTGAGCATGGGGATTCCGAATACAATATTAGTTTTCAGAATTATCGATTACTTTTATTGATTTTATCGATTTTTTGTAAATTTTGACGTGCGAGGCTGGGATTTTGCACAGGGGGTAATCGAGCATGCTGATTACGAACACAATATTAGTTTTCAGGATCGTCCATTACTTTTATCGACTTTATCGATTTTTTTTGTAAAGTTTGACCTGCGGGGCTGGAAGTTTGCACGGGGGGGGGGTAATCGAGCATGCAGATTACGAATACAATATTAGTTTTCAAGATCGTCCATTACTTTTATCGATTTTATCGATTTTTTGAAAATTTGAGCTAGGGGGCTGGAATTTGGCACAGGGGTGTAATCGAGCATGCTGATCACCCCCTTGGGGATGATCAGCATGCTCGATTACCCCCCTGTGCCAACTCCCAGCCCCCTAGCTCAAACTTTGCAAAAAAATCGATAAAATCGATAAAAGTAATCGATAATCCCGAAAACCAATATTGTATTCGGAATCCCCATGCTCGATTACCCCCCTGTGCGAACTCCCAGCCCCGTAGCTCAAACTTTGCAAAAAATTCGATAACATCGATAAAAGTAATCGATAATCCCGAAAACCAATATTGTATTCGGAATCCCCATGCTCGATTACCCCCCTGTGCGAACTCCCAGCCCCGTAGCTCAAACTTTGCAAAAAAATCGATAACATCGATAAAAGTAATCGATAATCCTGAAAACCAATATTGTATTCGGAATCCCCATGCTCGATTACCCCCTGTGCCAACTCCCAGCCCCGTAGCTCAAACTTTGCAAAAAAATCGATAAAATCGATAAAAGTAATCGATAATCCTGAAAACCAATATTGTAATCGGAATCCCCATGCTCGATTACCCCCCTGTGCCAACTCCCAGCCCCGTAGGTGAACTCAGCAAAAAAATCGATAAAAATCGATAAAATCGATATCGATCGATGACGAAAAGTAGCCTATGACACGCGCCGGGGCCCGAAGTGTATGTATGCCAAGTTTGGTCCGGATCGGTTCAGAAATGGAATTTTCTATTCGGAACATACGTACACACAGACATACAGACAGACAGACAGACAGACAGACAAACAGACATTCAGCTTTATATATAAGACCAGTCCAAAGCGCCGCTTCGCGGCGCTTTGTACTGGCTGTGTGTGTGAAGTAGGATGTAACTAAAATTAGACCTTTTCAAAGATTTTTAGCGAATCTTTTCGATGGCACGGATTCAAAAACGTAACGACCCCAGAAGTCATCATAGTCATAGATCTCCTGCTTTAGAAGATTTCGATTTTCTTATCAAAAGTGACAACAGAATTACGACGCTTCCTCCCAGCTTCTTCAAGCTGCATCGCTCCTTTCTTTGCTTTACAGATACTCGAATTTTGCATAGCGTTTTACTATCCGACTTCTTTGAGGATTGCTCCCTCCCCCCCCCTTAACTCCTTTTTGCCCAGGAGCAAGCGCTCAAAACCGGCAAAGTTTTATAAGCCACGTGCACTCTCCCCACTTGGGACCTGTTTCACACACACTGAATGATTCCCCCCCCCTCACTCCCCAAGGTTTTTTATAACCTCCACTCCCTCAAAAGTTCTTACTCACATGGGAAATGTCAAAAGTCGATGTGGCCAATCGAAGCAAGCTGCCAACCATTCAAGGCAGCGATAAACGTTGGTTTGGAATCAGTACTCCTTATCTGCTTAGCGCATTCGTGGATGAAGTTTATGAGTGTGGCCCAGCATCAAGTAAAACATGACTCTGTTCTGCCAAGTTTGCGCTTTTCATGCACGATTTCTTAGCAAATTAACGACCTTCAACGGCTAGTAACTTCGCCCACAAAGGCGCGCAGATGTGGAATATGGATTCAAAGTCAGCTTTCATGCTGCATGTAATGATATGTAGCTTGTCTAAACTGGCCACTTCGATTTCTGACCATTCCCATTTCAGACTACTCTTATCTCTTTCCGAACTTAAATTAGCGAGAAACAAATTGACTTCCTTAAAAATTAGCCAACATTTAAACTATCAGATCTAGAAAATCTATTGCAAATCCAAATACTTCCTCTTCCTCTTCACAAAGTACTCTTTAGAAGCGTCAAAATTCCTCCTCCTCCTCAAGTAATTTTGTCAAAATCTCAATCGCGTTTCATAAGAACTTTCCAAATTGTCCAACACGCCTGCAATTCATAAAGAAGTGCTCCAAAATCCACTCCTTTCTCTGGTGATCTCATTATTAGCAAACTACCGATTCAAATATTTTAAATGACCTACTCAGCGAGTTTACGCTTTTAGCTGCTCACTTAAGCAAGTCTCCGCTCTTTACACAATTTTGAGGTTGTGCAATGTTCACATTTAAAGAGCACATGACACATAAAAAGCTTGGCTTCTGGATAGACTGTTTTTACAGCTCTTTCGAAAATTGCATTAGAAAAGAAATTTGAACAAAAAATTTTCATACATTGATGTAGAAAAAATACTCACAAAATTAGTTCAAAAAAAGTAAGATCTTTAGAAAGCGCGAATTCTTTAGTTTTTTGAGGCGCACAGTGAAAACTATGATGGACTAAAATGCACTCTTTTACAACTTTTGAGTAGTAGACAATTGCAGAATGGATGCTGTTTGTGAAGACTTTCTGAATGGCATGTTGCAATTTTCAGA